TTCATCTTCATGCTTCAAATGACAATGAATTACTTGAATTGCTTGCAGACCGATCTAGCAATCCTGATTATAATTATGTGGCTAGATTATATTATCAATATCGTAAAACCGTATTAGGAGATCGCAATGGTGTAGGAATGTTTAATCGTTTAACAGAATTAGTTAACGATTATAACAATTCAGGAAATGGTCAAGCTGTATTACAGAAATATAATGCATATTCTGGAACTGCTTTTATTCTCTGTATTATAACCGGATTAATGTGCCGAGTACATGAGAAGATTAAACAAGCCGGCGAATTATGTTATGTGGATTCATCCGCATCATTTGACCCACTCAACACTTCAATTACTTTACTATATACAAGCTGCACTATCGGTGCACTCCCTCTTGGATTGATTTTAACTTCAGATGAATCTGAAGTTACTTTAGAAAAGGCGGTAATTGATATATTATATACTGTCTGTTTTATAAATAATTTAATCTTATTTAACTAAAATAAATCCTTTATAGTTTAATTTATTAAAAATGATTCTCCCACCATATGCTTTTTATGAACGTGGACCCCAAGTAGAACCAGCAGTTATACTTACAGATGATTCAAGCGCTGAACATAATGCGTTAGAACTTAGCTGGCCACAGGGGATTCGTTTATTATGCACGTTCCACGTTCTGCAAGCCTTTTGGTGATGGATCTATGATTCGAAACATAAAATTATTAAAGAAGATCGAGTAGCTATTATGAATAAAATGAGAATGATCCTTTATGCACCTAATTTCATACAAATGGATCAATACTATTGTGAATTTAAGCAGGATTTTTATCAATCATATCCATTACTACAAAGACACTTCGAGCTTTTGTGGAACCGTCGCCAATTTTGGGCCTTAGCTGCTTATTCGGGGAAATAACACCAACAATTATGTTGAACGCGGATTTGGAACATTGTCTTCGCGAGAACTCAAGCCTATAACCCGGTTCAAGTATTCCAGTTTATAATATTAAATATGGAAAATTTTTATCGTCGATGATTACTTAGCTGTGCCCATAAACGTTCTGACCATTTTCGGGTTGCCAAACGATTTTTATGTCCCGGCTGGGAGCACGTGGATATGAATTTTGTTCAACAAACGGGTGTGGAAAATGAATTTTTAGTATTAAGCACAAGTCAAAATAACCTTTTTTATATTGTGAATAGTGAGATCGGAACATGCACATGTCCTATGGGTATGAACGGTGCACCTTGCAAACATCAAGGTGCAGTTGCGATGAAGTTTCATGTTCGAATATTAAATTTTCTGCCATCATTAATACCCAGCGACCGTATGATCTTCACTTATATTGCGCTTGGTAAAACAACTCATAACTTGAAATAATATAAAGCATAATATAATTAAAAAAGTTGTGTTAATTGTTAGGTCAAGTTACAAAGGATAGTTCTTTTTACGCCTCATTGCGTGTGGAATCTATTTCACAAGAATATTCACAGGAGACAAGACCGTCTAATGAACGTTTATTGAAACCTTTAGACAATGAACAGAGGTTTATTTTTTTTTTTTTTATAATCTACTATTACAATAAATGTAAAACTTTATTTTTTTAAAGCGAGTCAGATCAAACAAACGAAGTAATCAACGATACTATAAGTGAAGAAATCAACGA